TTGCTTACTTGAGATTTTTTCTTATTTCTTGAGGTAGGCCTGTATTGCTAGAAACTACCCTCTTATAACTGCTTTTGGTGCAGGTTACAGATTTTTTACTGTTGTGTTTATATTTTTATTTGTCTCCATGTATTTTTTTAGTTTCTTCTTTGATTTCATCATTAACTCTGGTTGTTTAGTAGCATGTTGTTTAGCCTCTGTGTGTTGTTTAGCCACTTCTCATGTTGTAATTGACTTCTAGTTTTATACCACTGTGGTTGGAAAAGATGTCTGAAATGATTTGTCTTCTTAAATTTATTGAGACTTGTTTTATAGCCTAACATGTGATCTGTTCGAAGAATGTCCCATGTGCACTTGAAAAGAATATTTATTCTGTTTTTGAGTGGAATGTCCTGTATATATTTATTTTTTTATTATTTATATTTTAGTTAATATACAGTTCAGTATTGATTTCAGAAGTAGAATTCAGTGATTCAACACTTCCATACAATAGCCAGTGTTCATCACAAGTACCCTTCTTAATGCTCATGTGTATATCTGTTAAGTACATCTTCTGTAATATGTTGTGTAAGTCCTATGTATCTCATTGATCTTACGTCTGGATGATATATCCATTGATGTATGTGGGAGTGTTAAAGTCCCTTACTATTATTTATAACTGTCAATGTATTACTGTCAATTTATTACTGTCAGTTTCTCCTTTATGTCTTAATATTTGCTTTTTACACTTAGATGTCCATATGTGGGTGCACGGATCTTTAAAAGTGTTACATCCTTTTGTTGAATTGATACTATTATCATTACGTAATGTTTTTTCTCTATCCCCTATTACATTTTTTGTTTGTTTTAAGGTCTGTTTTGTCTAATGTAAGTATTGCTACTCCAGCTTTCTTTTTATTTCCATTTGCATGGAATGTCTTTTTCCATCCCTTCACTTTGTGTGTCTTTAGATCTGAAGTGAGTCTCTTATAGGCAACGTATCTATAGGTCTTTTTAATAATCCACTAACTGTCCCTCTTTGTCTTTTGATGGGAATATTTAGTTCTTTTACATTTGAAGTAATTATTGATAGATATGTACCTAATGCCATTTTGTTGATTGTTTCCTGTTTTTTGTTGTTGTTGTTTTGTGGGTTTTTGTAGTTTTTCTGTGTTCCTTCTTCTTTTGCTCTCTTCCCGTATGATGAGATGACATTCCTTAGTGTTCAGTTTGTATTCCTTTTTCCTTAATTTTTGTACATCTGTTACAGATATTTAGTTTGTGGTTTCCTTGAGGTTCATATAGAATATCTTTAGTGTATAGTAGTTTGTTTTAAGTTAATAGTCATTTAAGTTCAAGGATGTTCTAAAAGCACTGCATTTTAACTGCCCCCTCCTGATACATTTTATGTTTTTGACATCACATTTTGCATGTAATTATTTTGTGTATCCTTTGACTAAGTGTGTAGTCCTAGATAATTTTACTACTTTTGTCCTTTAACCTACATTCAACAACCTACATAGATACGTTCTAGCTATGTAGGTTGTTGATCTACTTTATTCTATGTTTACCATTACCATTGATTTTTTTTTTTCTTTCATAGTGTTTAGTATCTAGTTATGGCCTTTTCTTTTTATTTAAAGAAGCCCCTATAACATTTCTTATAAGGCTGACTTAGTTTTGTTGAACTCCTTTACGCTTTTGCTTATCTGGGAAACTTTCCTCTCCTTTAATTCAGAATTATAAATTGCTGGGTGTAGAGTATTCTGGTTGTATTTTTTTTTTCCTTTCAGCACTTTGAATGTATCATGTTATTCCCTCATGACTCCCTTATGTAAAATTTCTGTTATAAAATTAGCTGATGGGGCGCCTGGGTGGCTCAGTTGATTGTCTGACTTGATTTTGGCTCAGGTCATGATCCCAGGGTTGTGGGATCCAGCCCCGCATTGGGCTCTGAGCTAAACATGGAGCCATGGAACCTGCTTATGATTCTCTCTCTCTCCCCATCTCTCCCCCTCTCTCCCCCTCTCTCCCCCTGTCTCCCTCCTCCCCCTCTCCTCCCTCTCTCTCCCCGCTCCTCCCCTCCTCCCCCTCTCCTCCCTCTCTCTCCCCCTCCCCCTCCCCCCTCTCCCCCTCCTCCCCTCTCCCCCTTTCCCTCCCCCTTTCCCCCTCCTCCTCCCTCCCTCTTTCTCTCCTCATCCCCCTCTGCTCCCCAACTCATGCTTGCTCTCTCTCAAATAAAAACATAAATTAAAAAAATAAATAAAATCAGCTGATAGTCTTGAGGGAGATTCCCATGGCATGTAAATAGTTGTTTTTCTCTTGCTGCTTTTAAGATCCTCTCTTTAATTCTTGACACTAGTTATAATGTATCTTGCCATGGGTCTTTTTGAGTTCATGTTATTTTGGAATTTCTGTTCCTGGCCTTGGATGTCTTTTTCCTTTACCAGGTTGGGAAAGTTTTCGGGCATTATTTCTTCAAATAGGTTTCCTGTCCCTTTGGCTCTTTTTTTTTTTTCCCCCTTCCTCTGGGACCCCTTTGATTCAAGTGATCGTGTTCTTGATGTTGTCCCAGCGGTCCCTTAAGCTCTGCTTATTTTCAAATTACTTTTTCTTTTTGCTGTTCTGATTGCATGCTTTTCATTCCCTGGTCTTCCACTCTCCTGCATTGATCCATTCTTCTGCATCATTTAGTGTGTTGATTCCTTCTAGTACTTTTTATTTCACTTATTATTCAGCTCTGGTCATTTTTTTTTTTTTTATATTTTCCATCTCTTCATTGAAGTTCTAACTGTGTTTATTCAGTCTTCCTTTGATCTTTAGTGAACATCTTTATGAGCATCACTTTGAGTCCTCCAGGTCCAGTGTCATTCAAAGCCATTGTTTCCTTGTTTATTTTCTGTTTAGATTATCTGTCAGTTGTTGTAAGTGAGGTATTAAAGCCCCTATTATTGTTATATTACTGTCACTTCCTTTATGTTAGTTATTGTTTTATATATTTGGGTACTTCCACATTGGGGGCACAGATATTTACAATTGTTAGATCTTCTTGTTGGATTGTCCCCTTTATTATGATGTAGTACCCCTCTTTATCTCTTGTTACAGTCTTTGTTTTAAAGTCTAGTTTGTCCAGTGTAAGTAACTATTGCTACTCCAGCTTTCTTTTGACATCTGTTTGTGTGATAAATGTTTCTCCATCCCCTTACTTTCCATATGCTGGTGTCTTTAAGTCCAAAGTGAGTCTCTTGTAGGCAGTATAATTATGGGGTATTTTTTTTTTTTTTATCTGTTCTGATACCCTATGTCTTTGGATTGGAGGGTTTAGTCTATTTACACTGACGGTGATTATTGATGGATATGTATTTATTTCCATTGTATTACCTGTTTTGTTGTGGTTTCTGGAGATTTTCCCAGATCCTTTCCTGTCTTTGTCACTTTTGGTCTTTGCTTTCCACTCAAAGAGCCCCTTTTAATATGGCGTGCAAAAAGCTGGTTTAGTGATGTGACCACTACTTTGAACTCTTTATCTGGTGGACTGCTTATCTCTCTTTCATTTAGTTCTTTTTCTGAGATTTTGCTTTGTTCTTTTGTTAGGAACATATTCCTTTGTCTCCTTATTTTGCCTAACTTCCTGTGTCTGTGTATTAGGTGGATCAGTTACACCTCCCAGTCTTGAGGGAGATTAGTTTTGCATATTAGATTGTCCTGGAAGCCCTGAGGAGTATTAGAGACATGGAGAGGTAGGAAAGGAAACTTATTAGGAAGCATTTTAGTGACCTTAAGAAGCATTGTAAAAACTTGAAATCAGACAATGTCAGAATGAAGAGAAGGTAGAGTAAATATATCCAGGAATGGAAATCAACAGAATTCATGTGGCAGTAATGTGGTTTGGGTGGAGGCAGAACCAATCTAAAATTAATTAATCCCATATTTCTAGTGGGATAAGTGGAGGATTATAGTACTAGTCTGATATGAGGAAAGAAAAAGGTTCAAGATAATTGTGACATAGTAAGATGAGGGTGTCCAAAAATGAATATTAATTAGTATTATTGTTTACTTAGTTATTAATATTACATTCGCTGAGTCTTGAGGTAGGTACTATTATTACCCTCATTTTGTCACTAATGAGGCCCAAAGAAGGTTGATAACTTGTCCAAGGTCACAAAGGACCTTGGTGAAGTGCAGAGTGAAAATTTGAGGTTGGGTAGTGATTACATTTTCTACTCTCTTGATTACTTCATGCTCTTTTCAGTCACATGGAGATATGATCTGTGAGATAAAGTTATAATCTGTTGATAGGGATTTGGGAGTTACTGTCTCTAAGCGAGGGGTGAAACCATTGGCCTGAATGATGAGTCTCTGCAGAGTCCTTAGAGTTCTTGTGAGTGCACTGAGGTTCAACAGAGGAAATGAGCTTGTGTAGAAATTGAGTAACCAGAAAGATAGGAGGAAAATCTGGAAAGAATTATATTATAAAAAACATAATGTATTTTTTTTTTCTTTTTTAAGAAGTGAAATCATCAACAGTTCTAAAATCTTAAAAAAAGTAGCCATAAAATCTAGTCACCCATGATGCTTGCCAGAGTAGTTTCAATCCACTTATTCAGAAACAAAATAAAGCGGGTCAGAAAATGAAGGGAGGTGAGACCATGAATTGAGAGAACTTTCCTGCACTTCATGGAGAGATGTCACTGTACAGATAAAAGAGATCAAATGGAAGCTAATGGTAGATGGAGAGTTTTCTTCTCATGGATGAGGCAAGATCACATTTATATGGATTTAAAGATACTCTGTCTAGAAGTCAAAATTTTAGAAAAAAATTGTAATTTGAAATGCTTTTAAACTTTACAGAACATTATACATCCATGGGCATACCAAGTTGGATTTCACAGTCTGGCATACTGCAATTGAAAAAGCAGCAGGTACAGATGGTAATGCATTACAAGATCAGCAGCTCAGCAAAAATGACGTTCCCATTATTGTGAACAGCTGTATAGCATTTGTTACACAGTATGGTAAGTATTGCAAAGTTTTTATTCAACCCCCAGAACTCATGGTATCATTCTTAGAGTTTTTTAAGTGGTTCCGCCACTGGACTGCATTAGAGCTCTTTATATTTGAAAGTACATCAGTGAAAAATAAAAACATCATCACCATTCAGCCAAATGCCATTCCTTCTCCCAGTAAAATTTAAATTACACAATGTACTTTTACCATTTTCTTCTTTTACATGCGTAAAAAATTTAAATGCCATACTGAAAGAATCTATATTATAAAATGTATATTAAAAATAGATTGAAGACTTTATTTTTCAGAGGTTACAAGGGTTACTGTAAAGTCTAAGGGAATGCAGTGGGTCACCTAAACATGTTTTTGGAAGTGGTAAACTGTGGGAAAATACGTGAAAGAATTTTTTGTTGCTGTTGACAAGCATTCAAAGTATGTGTATGTATTTATTTCATTCAATGTGCTATTAGTCACATGTTTATATTAAGAATCATGGTTATTCTAATAGTTTTGACTTGATCTTAACAGAGTTTTATGAATAGTTTGCAAGTAAAAACAATTGGTTGACATTCACATGGGCTAACTTCATTTTAAAATAATATGTTATGATAGTAAAGTATTCCTTGATTCTTCATGTTTATTTTCAAATATGAATTCCTCAGATTCCTTCTTTGTTACATATTTCATCAATACTCTAAAAGGTAGAAGATTGTGAACTATATTTTAAATATAAAAATGTTTTCTACCTTTTAATCTGTAGGTAAGTGCCATTGATTTAGATTACAAGTTTGGAAAAGAGTAAAATGATTGATCTTGTATTTGGGAAGGTAATTAACTTTTTTTTTTTGTTCTCTTAATATTAGAAGTGTCCTTGGGTGTTTTTAATTTGAAAAGAAGGTGTAATCAGTGACAGAGCTGCAGTAAAACATTGTGTTATTAGTTTGTTACTTATTTATTGTCTGTTGTGTGCCAGCCATTGATCTTGGTACTGGAAGTACAGCAGTGGGAGTAAAAAGTTAAAGACAAAGCCATGAATCATAGGTTTCAGTAATGAGAACTGACAACAAACTGCTATGAGTAAAACGTTAGAAATAACCAAGGCTATGAAGAAAATAATTTTTAGAAATTAAATTTATAATATGTGTATATTAATCTATCTTCTTCTGGAGAGAGTGCCATTTTAAGTATTTTGCTTATTTCATATATAATTCAAGTATCATTAATCAGATTCACTGTGTTTGAATTCCGTATCTTTGAATTATATACCTACTGTAAATATGTATGCAGTCACATTATGTGGCTATTACTCTATGAAATCCCTTCCTGTGATACTGTGTCCATATTTTCCTTATCAGTGGTAGTCATCTGTTTATTTGAAAATGGGGGAGGAAGAAGGTTATCATCTTCATTCGTTAGTCATTCAGTATTAGCACACTTGAATTTCATTGGTATAAATGAATTGCACACGTACTATGTTTTAGCAAGAGCAAAACCTCATTGGGAACTTTCACATCATGTTAGTTTCATAATGGCATAAGGTCTTTCTTAAGCTGTGAAATGATTAAAATAATTCTAGCTCCAGTGTATCCAATTTAAGGTTTCTCTTGGGAAATCAGAAGTTTCTTTGTGGTGTTTCTTTGAATTTAAAATCATTAAGCATTAGATTGTTTTCAACTAAATTTTATTAGTTAAATAAGTTAAATAAATAAGTTAAATAAATAAATTAAATAAATAAGTTAAAACTACTTTGTAACTCTGGCACAAGGTACATTAACTTGCATATTAAAGTAATAAAGCCGAAGAAAGACTGTGTTTTGTTTTGTTTTGTTTTTAATGAGCAGAATATGGGGGAAACCCTGATGTTACCAGCATGTATAGTAGGGAAGATATGGTACACACTTAGAAAATGCCCAGTGATTAATAGAATGAAGATGGTTGACTCAAAGACTTTACAAGTCACAATTATTTTGAACTTCCTGACCTTTGTATTAAAATCTGAAGGCCAGTTTTTTTGTGTTCATGGTGTCAAGATTTTGAACAGAACCGGTTCACAGTCATATTTTTAGAGTTTAATTTTTTTAATGAGTTATAGTAGTTCTTGGGAATTATTTTAACTTATGTAAACAAAATTATGCGTGCAGTTAATATATTTGAGTACTAGCTTTTAGAAATTCATTCAACGAGGGATATAAGTTAAGGTCAAAAACTTAGTCACAGGTTTTTGTTTTTGTAGATGTTGCTTACTCTTACATTAAATGATCATTTATTGAATGCTTCCTAAGTTCCAGTCATGGTAGAGTTACTGTACGCAGAGAGTAAGACATGAACCTTACCCTCTGGCTTTTTACAGATTTGTGAATCAAAGACGTTTAAACAACTAGGCAGTTATATCTCAAGTATACAAAATTCTGTGGTAGAGAGCTTCAGGAGTTGGTACAAGGAGAGCTTCATGGGTGAGATATGCTTACCATAAGTCTTAACAGAAAATAGGAGCTAGTTAGGACAAGAAGGGAATCGGGATTCTATGAGGAGGATCAGTGTATGCTCATGTATGGAGTCATGAGAGAAGTTGTCTATTGAGGGAACTTTGTATTGTGACCAGAGCTTAGCATGAGAAGAACAGTAGATGAGAGGCAGGAGGGTTAAGCCTATTCATGTAGAGTCTTAAATATTATAATAAATCCTCAAACTTGTCCTCTAGGCAGTGAGAGGGCAGTATCTAGATTTTTAAGCATGTTGGTGACACCAACAGACCTGTATCTCAGATCAAGCTATTATCAGTGTTGAGATGGACTGGAGGGCTACACAAGAATAGGGGCAGGGAGTTGTGACAATGTAGTGAGGAACTGAGTGCAAAAAAATAACAGGACATGGGATAGAAAGAAGGGGACAGTTTGAGAGCAAGGCTATGATGAAAAATATATGTGACTTTTTAATATTGTAAGCGAAAAAGAAAAATTCTGACTTATAAAGGACTGAGGAGAAGGAAGTGCCATGTATTGAGATGCCAGAGATAAGATAAAGACCATAGTGAGATTAACAGGTGAAGTAGTGAATGGGGCAGGAGACTTAATTCCTCAGATTATTTTCACTTATTCATGAAAATGGTGTGTGTTGCAGGTATATTTATAAAGTATCTGTATATAAAGTGTATGTGTGTGTGTTTGAAATCCTAGAAATGAAAACCTGGGTGAAAATGTGTATGTGGTAGTTAAATGTGTATGAAGTTGGTTGGGTTCACCCACAGAATTTTGTAGGGGAGTAGAAAAGAGAAGAGAATTGAGGCTGGATTTATGGAATCCTTAGTAAATACTAGATGGTAGAATAAATAGAGGACTGGACGAGTAGTCATAGAGGAATGGGGGGAGAGCTAGGAGATTATAATGTCATGAAAGCTATGACATTAAAAGAATTTTACCAGGGATTCATTTGGAGTGTCCTACACTGCAGGGGATTCTCATTAGATAAAAACAGAAAAGCACCTAAAAATAGGATGTTGTTGATATTCTTGATGAAGGTGGTCCCAACAGCTGCACAGAAGCAAGATTATGGTTGAAGGATGAACAGGGGCATGAGATGGTAGGAAGAATAAATATAGGAAAGTCAGCTGGGGTTTGGAAGGGAGAGAGATCCAGAGACCTGGGAGGGGCAAGGGAGCACTTTAAAATTTTGTTTGTATCATCATCATTATCCTCCTCTCCGCTCCTCATCCTCTTATTTTATATGGGACACCTGGTGAATCAGTAACTTTGAAAAGGAGATGATTCAACTCCTCATCCAGAAGAAGGTGAAAGTGGGAACAGACAGAAATTAATATACAAATATGAGTGCAAAGGGCTAAGAAAATTTACACTAGAGCGCCTCACTTTTATCAGTGAAACTGGGGACAGGCTTGAATTCTGGGAGGTAAAGTAAAGATCGGACACCTGTGGTAAAAGAACATTTGAAGATACCATGAAGGGGGGAAGGGCTGGACAGGGGCTTGTTAAAAGCTTGCTAAAAGCTGAGAAGTTTGTTCATCATTTTAAGTACTAAAATTAGGGGGTGGGGGACCTTTTTCCCCTCATGCATGTTTATATCAACTCTTGGATAATGACTTTGTCTGGCTCAATGTCCCAACACAAAAGTCTATATTTCTAAGCCATAAAAGTAGATTTTGATTTTAGACTTCATATATATTTTTTTTAACCAAAGGTTTAGGATGCAAATATATCTACCAAAAGAATGGTGATCCTTTGCATATAAGCGAACTCCTGGAGAGTTTCAAAAAGGATGCAAGGAGCTTTAAATTGAGGGCTGGAAAACATCAGCTTGAAGATGTGACAGGCGTGTTGAAAAATTTTCTCTCCGACATTGATGATGCACTTCTTACTAAGGAGCTCTATCCATATTGGATCTCTGCTTTAGGTAATACATATAATATGGAACATAATAAATGCTTGCCTTCTAAACTGATAATTATATTTTTGAAATCTTTGCTAATCTGCAAATTTAATTGAAAGGAACAGTGTACCTAAGGGCTTAGAACAGATATTGTGTAGATATCCATAGTTGTTTATATCTACCTCAAAAGAAATTTATAGTAATAATTGCTAAGTAGTATGTTAAAGTAATTCTTAGTTTGCAGATTTCTTAGTGTTTGCTTTGCTTTAACTTTGAAAGTGTTACGGTTAAGTCCGTGTATGCTATTAATTTCTCATTAAGATTAAAATGAACGGTTTAATATAAGATTGGTTTTATATGATTTCCCTATATGGCTCTTTGGCTTCCCTTTATCATTCATTCTACCTCTGTAGGGTACATAACAATAGCTTTTAAACTCTTTCTTCATTTCCCCTTCAATAAAATAGAAAAAAAGAAGAAGAAAAGCCTTTGCTATACTGTAAGAACCTATTTAAGAAATGACTCTAGAAAAGTAGTTTATTAAATCACTTGTTGGGTCAAATTGATTCAGTAAAACCTACATTTACATCTATTAATTCAAAATAACTCCTTTTACAAAAACATTACAACAATGAAGGCTTTTAAATGTAAACATTACCTTTCATCCCATCTTTCTAATAGAACTATTTTCATTTTTATATCTTATTTTGTAGTCTTTGTCCCCCATACCTGTAATTTATATATAATCCTTTATATTAAACCACAAACATTTCATGTATATCTACAATACTTTCAAAATGATTTTCGATCATTTTTTTCAATTAAAAAAATTTAAAAATTATCATTGAAATTTTGACCATAATTTACTAATATATTTCTACTGTACATTTAATGCGTTTCAAGATTTTTTGGGAAAGTGACCTTTGAATTTGACTATATGATATGCCTCTGTTGAGAAATAGACTTTTTCAGTGAAAGTATTTGTTTAATCTCACACATAAATATGATATATTATTAAGGGATTAATGTTGAAGTGATGTCATAAAACATTCACAGTTTGAAAAATTCTCCCAAGAATGACCCTTATTAGTGTCAGCAAGAAGGGAGTTGTACTGTTGCTAAAATAAAGCTTTTCCTAATTTAACTACCAATTCAGAAGACTTTTATTTGCCTGCTGGTATTTCTGAAATCAATAGGTTCAACTCTAATCACAAAGAGAATTGATTGCATAATTATCTGGGATATAAAATATGGAATTAGATAATGTATCACTTTAAGCCCAATTACTTTGCCACTCTCATTTTTATTTCATGATTTATTATAATTTTATAACTATGAAGTTATTTATAGCATCTCTATTTTATAAGGACTAACAATTTGTCTTTATTGTAAAATCGCTTATCAAAAATTTGAGGCAAGTATACTTTTGCTCAATTGTCAAGTTCTAAGACAAAGATGTCTTTACTGTTGTCAGTCTACCAGGAGTAGGTAGTTGGTAAATAGTAGCAAGTGTCAAAGAGCAATGTGTTCACCTTTTACTTGGATGAGAATTCTTTGAGAATTTACTTGGAGAAGGTTTTAGATGCTAGGTCAAATAGCCTTAAAGTCGTTTGCTTTCAGATCTAACATAGCTCACCCTAACTTGTCAGAGGTGCTCTATGTTGGATCTGACAAGGATAAACCACAACTCTCTGGATGACCTCATAGAAGAGCTCTCTTGGGTCCTGTGCACTGAGACAAAGAATGCCTTACAGTGTCATACCACCTATTTATATGATCGATGATCTATTCTTCTAAGAACACATTAAGTTGTCTGAAGTCTGCGGCTAGCTGACTAGTTCATTGTATTTTCTATATGACCTGAAATCTATCTTAAGTTTTACTTTCAAATTGCTTAAGCTTTATTTTGAAAATTTCATCTATTTTATCCTTGTAAGATTTGTGAAGATATGCTGTACTAGCATGACTTCTTGTTATAAAGGTAGTAATATTAATAACATCTTATTAAATTAATACCATTATAGTTAGAAACTGGATGACAAGAGGGTGTTTGGATTGTACTAGAGATGATAGATAATTCTTCATTCACTTCCAGTGTAGTCTTTGAATATGATTTTGATGTTTTCCCCTCTCGCTTTTAGTCATCTATTAGCAGAGTTAAGTCAATATGATCATGTTTACCTCTACAGGTCTTATACGTAGGCTACAGCACTACAAAGGAGCTATGGTTACAGTTTTGATTAGGAGTGTACTTCAAAAATGTGCCACAGAGTTTCTTACCTCCCCAGGGATCCTAATGCCCTTCGCAAGGACCGTGTACTCTTGAAAAATCATTAATGTGCTGCTGGCTTTCTGTGAATAGAATAGGTTGGGCTGAACAGAAAATGAAAAAGTCTTGTTTCCACAGGTAGTTGGGAATTGTGAGGGAA